TCTTGTTCTGTATTATTTTAAATATTATTTAAATAGTGTTGCCATGGTTTCTTTAAAGCACTTTGGGCTGCTTTGTGCATGAAAGGTGCTATACAAATAAAGTGTATTATTATTATTATTATTATTATATGACAAATAAAACCTTTGAATCTTTGAATCTACCAGTGTGTTATTTCTTACAGGTGATGCGTTTCGCGGCTACGACCAGGATCTGAACCAGGACACGGCTCCATTCAGCGCCTCGGACGTGGATAACGACGGCTGTAATCCCTCTTGCTCCTTCGATAACCGCACGGTGGAGAGCTGCAGCGCTCAGCACAACAACACAGGATGGTGGTTCAACCAGTGCGGCCTGGCCAACCTCAACGGCTCCCCTGAGGACACTGAGCAGAGCCAGAGGACGCACATCCTGTGGGACACCTGGAGGCAGAGCGGAGTCCCTCACACCATCAAATCTGTCACCATGAAGATCAGGAGGATTGCAACCAATAATTAACAGAGAAGAGGAAAAACTCAGGGAGAAAGGACGTTATTGTAGAAGACATCTTCGTACAAATTGATGTTTTATTAAATCGGAATGGAAGAAGGAAAGGATGATTTGTCTTTTTGTAATTGTAAGCATCGGAACTGTTTTATAAACATCCCTTTAGGGTGGATTTGCTTTAACCCTTGAGGTCAAATCAGCGGTGGGAAAGTATCTAAGTGCATTTACTCAATAATAACATAATTGAACTTTATTTGAGTATTTCCCTTTTTCTTTCTACTTTCTACTTGTACTACTACTTCTCTTTAAAAGGCAATTATTGCACTTTTTACTCCATTACAATCATTTAACACTTAGAGTTACTAGTTTCTTTTGACATATAAAAACATGTGATATATTTACATGTTGTTATGCAGTGCTGTACTATATTATACAAAAATACAAAACCAGTATTTTAAAAAGTGTCTAAAATTGGCTCCACATTGAAAAACTACAACATAAAATGCCCTGACATTTATTTGTTATTGACTAAAACAGGAAAATATAATATTAAAATATAATATTATTATGTTGCTGCAATTGTGAAAAGAGTTTACAATTGAGTTATTTTACTTGATAATGTAAGAACATTTAGCTGATAATAACTTGGGGACAAATATACCCTGAAATTGTATTGCAATATACTATTGCAACAATACCAAGGTAAGAAGAACTCCTCAAGTGTAGACCCATATTGTTGTTATACAAATCATAGAGGGTAAGTATAAAAAGGAGCAACTCTAAATGCATCTCAAGCTGATTAAATCTGTACTGAGTAGTTATGATGTGACGGGCAGCAGCAGGTGAGACGCTGGTGAAATACCGACCTGCACCAATAGGTGGTGCTATAAATGTCTCTTAAAGAGGCGCTATATTATGCTTTTTGGTTATATGTGTAATATAGGTTTTTGTGCATATAAATGGCCTGAAAAGGGGGCGGGACATCTCAAAGCGGTGGACCAATCACAACAGATCCGGCCAGCCAACCAATCAGAGCAGACTGGGCTCTGGTTTCAGACAGAGGGTGAAAAGAGGTGCTGCAGCACAGGCAGTATGAGAAAAATAAAGACCTTTTTGAACATTAAAGCGTGTAGACATGTCACAGTAGGGTCAGAAAATACAAATATGAACCTGAAAATGAGCTTAAAAGTATAAAAGTTCAGTGTCATTTATTGAGACTTCAAGACAGGACCTAGGAGGACGACAGATTGATTTTAAGTAGATAGATGAATTTTCCACTCCATTAAGCAGATTTCACTGCAATGTAAAGGTTTTAACCCACTGGTTGACCTAAATGAAAAGTCAGAGGCACCTTGAATATCTTTAAATAGCTAATTTCACAGCAATATATTTAATGGTCAAGTTATTTCCCTGATGGAAAAGTAATTGGATCCCTACTGTCAGAAGCGTATTTCCTGTAGGGAATACCGATGTACAAAATCCTGCCCTTCAACCGTTGTTCAGATATTTTGGATTGGACAAAAATGGTTGACTGACTGACCTAAGGTCCGGCAATGCTTTCTCAAGAACCACAATGTTAGTACTGTTCAAGTAAAATGGCATAGCCTCTTTCAATACCTGACTCTCATGCCCTGGAACATCTCAGTGTTGCAGTGGAAGGGAAGCACGGTGGTGCAGCCGACGCCGGCGCAGTCCAGCATGCCCAGCGTCAGACTCTCCATGAAGGCCAGCGACGAGGCCTTGGAGGTGTTGTAGTCTATGGCCCCAGGGATGGGAGACTGGGACAGGATGGAGTTTATGCACACTACGTGACCGTGCTGCAGCTCCAGCATCCGAGGCAGGAAGGCTTTTGTAGTCTGGGATAAGAAAAGAAGAAAGGGAGAATTAAGACAAGGTGGAAGGAAGCGTGGAACAAGAAGGTGAGATATATTCAGCAGAGCAAAAAGAAGAGCAGACAAGAGAAACAGGCCCTCAGTTACAGATTACATTTCCATTTAGTTGATAATTGCATTTCTGTTGGCATATGACAGAGGCTTTTGATCTCTACTCAAAATAGAAATTCCATGAGTTTCAAAATCCTTCTGAGGTTTCAGGGGCTGGAAAAGCAATCTGGAAATACCCCACTTAACCTGCCATAATAGCAGTCATGATTGACAAGTCTGGGGGGGCCTACTGTATGAAATGCCATGCTATAATGAAATTATGAAAATGATAAGGGTAATCTGCTAGGAGGAATTCCCCTACTACTGCGTGCAAACGGCGTCTGCTTAAGTCTCTGCAAGTCTTACCCAGAACTGTCCCAGGGTGTTGATGTGTTGGGATTTCAGAAGGGCGTCGTCATCGCTGTCTATCAGACTTTTGCCGTGCACCACAGCTGCATTGTTCACTAATATCGTAACATCCCCCACCTGAGATTTAAAAAGCACATCCATAAAAAAAAAGAACACTGTAATCATAGATTGTATGCGTTTTCTGTCTGCTTTCATGAGATGATACAGTTGTGCTGCACCAGAGCTGTCAGCAATATTCCGCCCTCTTATACAGATATTTCAGATGAAGTGTAATCTATACGCCAGATGGGAGACAGAGCGGGGAGCCAATATACATTATACAGATGCATCACAAAGAAGCATTTTATCATGTGTTTAACCATGTGCAAACAACATTTCTTTTAGTAGCAATTTCTTTGTGTATAAAAAGCTGGCTTACCTTTTCTCTAACCACCTTGGCTTGCTTGTAAACTTCTTCCCGATTGGCCACATCACACAGAAAGTAATGGCACTCTGTTCCTGACAGAGAGATCTCTTCTGCTGCTTCTTTGAGGCACTTTTCTGTTCGGCCCCACAAGATCAACTAGCAAACAAGAACATGTTTAAAGGTTAGAAACAGAGAGATTAGAGAAATGTGAGGCATTGGAAATGTGCTGAGATTTAAGGAAAACCAAGTGACCCGTTGTTTAAATGTGGAACAAAAAAGGGATGTTATTACTGTCAGTCATCAACAAACATGACGTATGCTTTGCGCAATTTTTCTGGCAATGAGCCTTTGTGTAACTGTGGAGATCTTTGAGCAGAAATGCTCTTTTCATTCAGAGAACAGAGAGGTTGTTTACACTCCAACAAATAGTTTTAGAGCAAGATTAAAGGCTTGGGGGTTGCTGTGTGAATGAATTGTCCCTTCATCCACCCGGAGACTAAATGAAGGCCCGGTCATTTGAGCAGGGAACATGGGGGGTTGCATGGAGGTGGGGGACTAGTGATTGGGCAATTAGATCTGTCAGTCTTTGGGGTCAGGGAAAGGTAATGAAATCAGGGGGAGAGCCCTCCTCATCTCTCAAACACAAATTCTCAAAGAGATTACACGGGCTGTTGGACAGATGAGCCCCGTCATTTCTGGTCAGGGAGTCTGAAAACAGTGCGTGTGTGAGTGGACGCCAGTGTGGGATTTGGCCGGTCGCCCGTGACCGAGGTTAATATTTGAGCAAAAAGTCTTCTGGAAAGTGATCCTGTGTATGTGAGAGACAAACCGACAGCGTGTGTGTTGCCTTTCTCATGGATTCAATAGCTACAGAGGATCGCACGTCATCTTCTGCAAGTATTAAACCTGTCATCCTGCAGTAACAAGAGACTCTTATTAAATGCTAAACTTTTCAAATGAAGTCAACATTTGTATAGAGCCTAAAATAACATATTCACAATGACCAATGTTAGTTTGAACAGACAGAACCCTTTAATACCACAAAATAATTGTATTGCTATCTATCCTTTGCCTTGTTCGTGTGTCAATGACGGATGGTAATAATGGCATAAACAAACATTAATACTGACACTGTTAAGCTCTAGAAAATAAAACATATTTACAGTCTAGTATCTTCCTAATTTCTTTATCAGATATCTAGCATTAAGGCGGGCTCCCCCTGTGAGCGGCCCTTGTTTGAGTTACTCTTGATTGGGTTTTTTTGTTTGCTTCATTTGCAAGCCCATTTGAGCAATCAGTCAAGGCAGACAGGTCTTGATAAATAACTGAAAGCTTTTAATAGGATTTGAGCCCTACAAACAAAGCTGACAGCTCTCATTAAAAGTCAGCACTCAAACTGTGCTCTCTTGCTAAAAAGTTATTTAATTAATTAGGTTCATCACCCGTCACAACACACAGGACCCTCAGAACAAACAAGCATTGGCCAAATTGCAATCTGGATAGAAACCGTAAGAACACTATTATTTTATTGACCTTGCACAAGCCATCACTGATAAACCAGCCATAACTAGGCCTGCCTTACATTACATAACGTCAACACATGCTGTAAAGGTAAAGGCTAACAGTAAAAAAGTAAAGGCTCTCTAATTAACGTTGCAAGGCCTGAAGCAGGAGACAGAGTGGAGATGCCATTCAATACTGGTTGTGGTGTACCTCTGTGTCCCCAGTAGCTCCAGCTGAATTACAGTGATACTCTATCTCTCAGCTCTGAATGTATGGGTGGGTAGGAACCCTCCTTTTCACACCCATTGTATGGGCCAGCAGAGAGGCAGCACACAGAGGGGGCAGCAGGAGTTCAGGAGGCAGTCGCCTGCCGCTGTCTAATTACTGCGGAGACAGCAAGGTCAGTTGCAGGGCAATACCCAGCTGGGAGCGTTGGGCTTCCCGCCCCCAGCACAACACACACGCACATACACCCCCCGCCCCACCCACAAACTCCTGTTTAGTGCCGTGGTTTGGTTCATCTTCTAGCAGTGCTGTTCTTATGTAATGCCTTACAACCACATAAAAGTCAAGAACTTCTGCAAAAGTTGTTGTCTGAGAAATATCTTTTTTCTTTGAGCTTTGAAGAAATAAGCTGTCAACTATTTCACCCCTGCATTGCATATGGTTCTGCGAAGCAATCTGAACACTTCGGATGCCCGTGGTTTTGAGAAGATACTTTTGGCTCTCCTGGTTTATTGACACAATAGAGCTATGGTCTGTTCTGAAGGTTCCACCCTCTAGAGTCAGCCACTACAAAAGAAGAACACCACAAAACTGGCTCCCCCGCACACACACACCGCAGCAGACATTCAAGTCTCGGCGCGTGAAGTACACAAACATCTCACACACATTCGACTGTTGGTAGTGCTACAGTCGTTGTTCACATCCGGATGTGCAAATCCACCACGAGTGCCCAAGAAGCACAGGTGGACCCCTGAAATTCGGCTGCGCAATACACAGGGGCTCAAACTGGGGGTTAAACAACACAAAAACACAGAAAGATAATTGAGCCCGCTACTAAGTCACAGCCGAGTACACTGCATATCTGTGCCCCAAACAACTCTGGTCAGCATGCCACCTAGCCTGTGCGGATGTGGAGCGTCAGTTTTGAAATCCATTCGACCACCAGGTTGATTGGTGACTTTTGAAGCCAGACGCACTGTGCAGCGACAACAGTCAGGAGTATTGACAACAAAAACAACCACACACACAACAACAACAAGAGCGCGAGCCGGTGCTCACAGCAGAGGATGGTGATCGATCTTTGTTGTGCAGCCCTGCAAAGTAAAGCTGGTTAACACCGCCACTGGTTTCTCCTTCTGCCCTAGTTCCCACGAGGGAGTGATCATCTTACGCATCTGCCACAACAGCAACCTGAGGGGGGGCAGTTAGTGCGCGAGGTTCGTATTGAGCTCCACTGACAGCATGTTCTTCCGCGCAAGCGCTTAACTGGCATCCGAGTGATGTGGGCGCTGTGTGGTCACATCCGGCATTTAACAGATACCATGTGCTCAGTAGCACACGTCACCGGCAGCTTCCCAGGCTGAGATGCCTGCAGGTGCTTCTAACCGGGGAATTGATCCCTCGCTCTTTGGAAGATTTGCTTTTTCTCCATGTGTGTGAAATGTGTGTAAGACGATGATTCGCATCTGACGTTGAGTCAACAGGTAATAGGAGCTTATCCTAGGTCAGATTGATACGCGTCATCGATAGTTCGTTGAGGGACACCTGGAGCGCGCGACTGCTACATCAGGCACTGCAGTCTGCTGTAACTTGGCGCGTCACCTCGCGTTTCTACGTGTGTGATCCCAAGTGATTGGTAGACAACCGTCATGCTGGGAACCTGATGATTGGGAACACATGAGTCTCTAGCATGACCGCATGTGACGGTTGTCTGTGGCTATGTCCACTTGAGGTCATTTTCAGGGAATTGTGACGGCCTCCTGTAGTGGGGTGGGAAGGGATATAAAGGGATGTGGCGGCTAAACACGCGGTGATCAGATGAACAAAACAAATTCTACCACGCAGTTGGCGTGATCTCCCTGATATTAAAGGCAGGACTAGGAAACGTATATCCCTATGTCTTATATAACTCTGAGGTAAGGAGCGCATAGACTTGTAACGGAGCACAACAACACAATGTTGTCTATGCCATCCACAATAATTACGTTCATAACAGATGATATTTTATGCATCACAAAGGGTTCAGGATTCCTCAGAGCCAAATGTAAATTAAACCGTTAATTAAAGAGGATACTTCAATACATGTCCTAGCCCTTATGACTAACCTTATATAAACATCAGTGCTTAAAACAGAAAGCCAATTTGATTCAATAAAATGTATTAAGAGCATGTCACATCAACAGCATGGTATATAATGATGAAATACAATGAGCTAATAGCACAGTCGATCTCATAATAAAGTATTACAATAAGGAATTAGCCATCGTAATAAAACTTTAGTAACCCATTTTTGGACAACTTTTACTCTTCATCTGATTAGGTCGCTCCCTCTAAGTTGATGATACAATCGGTATGCTCATGTTGCGTCTTAGTCAAATACCATCTATTTGTCAATTGGACATTTAAGCTTTTTTTCATGAATTAGTAATTTCAAAGAGATATATGAGCTCATCTCTGGTTTCACAAGATTAATGGGTGTTGCATGATCCTTAACTGGGAGAACCTCGGTGTTGTATTGTATATGATAATATATGCTTTCAGGGATGAAATCATATGCTTTGAATACGTCAAACAACCTAAATCTCTAACGAGAATGTAGAAACAACCAAACGAGACTATTGTATCTCTTATTATTCAAAGCGAGCCGACAAGCCACATAGATTAGATTCGCCATTTCAGTTATACGTATATTTCCAAATACCACATGTATGTATTTAGATTTATCCAAGATCAATGTGATCTGATTCTGCACCCCCAACAACCGAACATTTTTTTTTTTTTACTCATAGTTATTGGCTACACCCCTCCATAGAAGTATGCATTTTCAAATCTCCTCATGCTATGCGAAACCTTAATTTTGGTTGCTCAGCTCAGCTATTATTAGGCAAGTCCCATCCTCGGAGAGCCTCCTACACTACTCACAGCATGCGCGCGATGCAAAATATGCAAGAGAACACCTCTTCTCAAGGCTGTCTTGTATCCACAACATAGTAGACGCTGTACTACCTACTGTAGTTGAGGGCATATCAAATGAGACACGATAGTGCTTCGCCTACTTCTTCATAGGAAGAGCAGGGAGCGAGTGTTCGGAGACATATCTTCTAGTCTTCCGTGTTGTGATATGTTGCCAAAGTTTACAAATAGTGCAATAGACTCCTAAATAATTATATCAAGAAAAACTATATTTTAGCACGGGTAATAAGCAGGGGTGTTTTATGTGGCCTTTGAAGCGCACAGTTTCAGTGAGAGAGCTTTGCGCACACACCATACAGTCAAACTGTCCTCCTTAACGGCAACCGAAAATCCTTGGACAGCCTGGAAATATTGTAAGCTGCGTGCATGTCCAGCCATGGCCATTATCACACCCAGAGCCATATATACAGGGCACCAATAGAGACACATTTCGGTCAGCAGAGGCTGCTGCAGGAACAACAGAGACACCACTATGAACTCACTGTAGGAATTACAATCAGCCCATCACACTAAGGTGCCCACGGAAAGGCCTACGAGAGCCACTCTGGTGAAGCCCAAACGCTAGATATAGCAGGACAAGATACTTATCGAACGCGTTCAGAGATGTGAGAGGGCACAAGACCGTTCAAGTACTCACTGACGCGGTCAATTCTGTCTGAGAAGCTGCTAGCTTATGGGGATCATGGATGGCCTAGCTCCTCCATAGCAACCGGCAATCACAAGACAGCGTTGGGAGTCATAATGACAAGGGAGTGCGGAAGCAGGAAAGCGGAGACTGCAGGCAGGGTCTACCGCCTAAGGAAACTGGCGTTGTGTGTGTGTGTGTGTGTGTGGTGTGTGTGTGTGGTGTGTGTGTGTGTCTGTGTGTGTGTTGTGTGGTGTCGTTGTGTGTGGTGTGTGTGTTGATGTGTTGTGGGTNCATTTCCAACAAACCTCTAAGCGATTGACCAATCACAACAAAGCTGACCATTTTCACCCTTTGTCTCAAACCAGAGCCCAGTCTGCTCTGATTGGTTAGCTGGTCAGCTTTGTTGTGATTGGTCAATCGCTTAGAGGTTTGTTGGAAATGTCCCACCCCTTATCCTATCTCGTTTAATGTGTTGGAGCACTAGCATAGAAGTGCCAGTGTTACATTAGCCGCTTTCACACCGCAGGACTTGCCGTACGTTAGTGCCGGCACTAAAGTACCACGGCACTGAATCCGCCAGGGGGCTAGTGCCAATCGCATTCACACCGCAGTACTTTCCCTGAGGCAAGATTACGCTGACGTCACTTCGTCTTCTTCTTCTCTGGGTTTACTGGCAGGGCGCAAAACCACTTCACGGCGAGTACAAAAAAAAACGAGAGAAGAAAACTACACGGGGGAGGGGGTATAAAGCCCACCCGCTGTACATGAGGCGTTTGTTTACTTTCCGACCTCAGACATGATGGAGTTCACTGAGCTTGTTGTCTTTGTGCTCATGTTATACAGCTTTGTAACTGGGTTATTGCAGCCAACTAGGGATTTGACCCACTCGTCGGATGCTCAGAGTCTAGCGGGGCGTGGTTTGCAATTCGCCCAGCCAATAGAAATAGAATAGAAATTGGCACTCTTTTATCACCAGGTTCTTACCACCTCTCTAGCAGGGACTGAAAATGGCCAAAAGAGTTCCCGGCACTGAGTAGTCCCGGCGGTGTGAACGCGACATTATTGGTACTAACGGAACTAAAGAACCAAAGTACCAGGGAAAGTCCTGCGGTGTGAATGCGGCTATAGTGATGTAACTATGTTACGGAAGTAAACAAAAGAGTGGGAGAGAAACTCCCTCTGAGGGAACTTTGGGGTTTTAAGTCACAAAAACCTGTATACAGTAACGCACTACAGAAAAGGGAAAACCCCAAAAAGCATAAAAGGACCTCTTTCTGATAGTGCTGAGCTGTGTAAGTAGTTTTCCATCTATAACATAGAAGGTTCTGGAACAGGTTTGTGATTACACCCAACCTTTTCCCATATTTGTAAATAATTCACATTGCAATAGCTCTTGAGAACATCAAATATATATAAGGTTTGGCAGCTTAAACTATGTATTTATTTAAACTCTGTTGCTGTTTGCCATTCAAATTATGTATATCTAGCTAAAGCAGTATTTTATGCTCTGTTTCAACTTTAAAATAAATGTTTTTTGTCAGACATATCTACACTTTTTCTCAAAACTGCTTTATTGTTTTGCTCAGGTTTCCCCAGCTCTTTCCTCCTCTCAAACCGGAGATGGTTGCCCTGAGGACTGTGGATGCAGTGAGAGCTGACCAGGCCTTCCTCTATTTGCCCTGGACTATGCATGCCCTTGTCTTTTTAAAAAGGTAAACAAAGTACCATTTAACATATTTCTTCTGTGTTATTTTATGTTGTTCCATGCTTAACACTCCATCCCTGATCTTTCTGCAATTTCCAGCTTCATGCCACAAGTGGCACTTGAAGAAATCCACAAGTTTTCTGGGAGTTACACCTGCATGAACACCTTCAAAGGGAGGACATGAACATTAATAGCACTCAATGTGCGAGAGACCTCAACAGCTCTGGGGTGTAATGAAGGGAATATGGACCTTAAGACATCTGGAAGTGGAAGATGCCCTGTGATAGTGTGAAGACTTAGGGGACATGCAAGGTGGTTGCTTCTGCAGGTAGAATCAAGATAAACTGCAGGATATAGCCATGCCTCTTTTTTATGTGTGTGTGCCTATGTGTATAGTATGAAGGACTGAATGCCTCAATTTGAACATGAGCCATGCTTAGGTCTGTACCAGTAGTTTCTCTGGAAGTTTTTGACACATGTTTTAGACCCGTTTTACACTCCTTTTTTGTTCACCTTTTAATGTGTCTTTGAATAAAAAAAGATAATAAAATTGAGTTTTAGGGATACACTGTGTTTCATTGTGCATGATGAAAATAGAAAAAACTGAACACTTGGGAGGTACAGACTATTTTGTGTCTGGGTTTTGACTCCCATGGCAGTGTGATAACACCTTTGATTTATAACAAGCATGAGATCAGTGACGCTGACAGACGATGTTGACAAAACATAAAACATAGGCTCGGAGGGGGCATGTGTGTTCTTGCCTGTCTCTGCTGACCGAAAATGTTAAAGGCGGGATGATGTAATGCTGCATACAAATAACAAACTCAAAACAAGTTGGTCAAGAACTCGTCCACACT